TAAGATTACCACTTTCTTTCTGAGAGGCTCCTCATCTTTAACAACTACATTGTAAAATTCAGAGATATTGTTGGCAGGCACAACATGCTCCTTTCCATGCTGAAAATAGCTGTAGCTATTGAATTTGGCAGGGGCAGATGGGGGGAGGGGAATAATTTTGTTTTGTTTTTAATTTTTTCAAAATATGCAAATTTCTTTGGGAAAGGAGTTATAGACAAACTATAAGTCTCACTTCATCCCATATAGATATATATATATAAAGTGGTATAAAGTGAGTTTTGCTGTAACTGGGAGAGTCCACAGCCTTGATGGCACTATGACATGCTCAGAAAGACAGAACAGCCTAGAATTTGGAAATCTGGGTGCTTAAGGGGAAGTAGTAAAACCTTAGAACAACTATTCTAGAACAACCTTGATTAAATTTTATTATTTGGTTCATTGGTTTTATTATTTGTCCTCTTTCAAGCCATCATTGATTCCATTTAGAGTTGCCTCTTAAAATAAAAGATAAGGCTCTTCTTTTAACAGTTATGGAAAAGAGGGAATTTTAGCAGGTGTTGCTTGCACATTGCTTCTACACAAGCAAAAGAGCTGTGCCCTTATTTCATCTGACAACCCTAATTCCATTCAAACTGATTTATGCCTTTGGGGTTGCAGACTGCCAGAAATAGTGCAAATTGAGTCCACTTTTAGGGTTAGGGTTAGTGCTAGGGAATCATGGGAACTGTATTTTATTGTGGGACCAGAGCTCTCTGACAGAGAAGGCTCTATGTCTCAGAAAAAAACAATTCCCATGATTCCCTAGCACTAACCCTAACCCTAAAAGTGGACTCAATTTGCACTATTTCTGGCAGTCTGCAACCCCCCTATGTCAGGTGGTTTAGTGGTTAGAGGATTAGACTATGACTCTGGAGGCCAGGGTTTAAATCCCAGGCTTGGCTGGGTGACCATGGGCAAGTCACACTCTCAGCCTCAGAGGAAAGCAATGACAAGCCCCCTCTGAAGAAACTTGCCAAGAAAACTGCCTTTGGGTTGCCATAAGTTGGAAACTACTTGAAGGCACACAACAACAACAACAACAACAACATGCCTTTCTAGTATCTGATTACAAGAAGAGAGACAGACAGACAATGATCATCTATGTATGGATGACACCACATCCAAAATATCTTTGATCTCATCCATCACTGGCTTCATGGAAATGTGAAATAGCATGAGAGACAAGGTGAATACAAAATGGAAGCCCAAAGAGCAGAGCACATCATTACCATCCCTCCATAATGAAGGACAAGAGATACTGTAAATTGTTGAATCTCCCTAATTTTTGGTTGCTCTCAGCTGGATGAGCCAGAAGTATGTCATGATCA